GCAAGAACACTTCACACAATTTCCCCAGAAATTGTAGCTTTTCTAGTTATTATTATTCTTATTATAGCAAAATTTGCCACCCTAACTCCTCCCACAGTTTTTACACTACATAGACAAAAATTTACCAAAACGTGCAGATTGTTCCGATCGGATTGCTATTACTTTGTGGAACGTTTCGCCGAATGGTTCACGGAATATCGTCGTTCTTGTGGCACAATTTGTCCCATAGGAATGAATGGCAAAGCTAGAGTGGGAGCTGGCAAAAGCTGAAAAATCAGGACATGATTTCTAAACTGCCACCGCTCCCTTATTTTCAGGCCCACCTACACAAATCTTATATCAAAACGTTCAGCTATCCCTGCTGCCACTAAACATGTCAACGGCTAAGCCATAGTCCTGATAGTTTTCACAATATAATAATTTGTTTGCAACTAACGCCGTCCATTGACATTCATTGAAACTTCACTCTACAAAGCTCAAATTTTAAGTGCAAAATCTAAACTGTGACTGTGCCTTCATTTTTAATACTTCAGAGACATACTATGCATCAAAATGTAGGTCTGGGTCTTGTGATTCTCACAATATAAAGCTCTTCACTGTAGGATTTATAGTTTTTAAAATACGACCGTTTGAAGATGGCAACCGCCAGTGAAGTGAGCAATTTGGAGCAGTTTGTTTTTAACGGCTCTTCTCTGCCCTATTTGAGATCTATTAGTTCCTGTTGGCAGTTGGTGGATTGTTGGAGGGATTTGAAAGATTTCAAAGCTTCTCACTTGCTGTAGAGTGAGTGAACCACACTCCAACCTTTCCACAGTTACTCCAGCCACTCCAACCACACAACAGTTACTCCAGCCACTCCACCCAGTTACAACGCCCACTCCAGCTGTAGCCTACTGGTAAAGGCAAGAACACTTCACACAATTTCCCCAGAAATTGTAGCTTTTCTAGTTGCTGTTTGTTTTTGGTTTTACATGCACATTTGAGGTACATTTCTTTTAGGTTAGCACTTATTATGAGATCTTAGAAAGATATTCATGGGATAGCCCAAAAGCGGACACACATTTAGATAAATAGGATGCTTTTTGATAAGTTGATGATTAGATATATTAGATATGACTGGGTCCTACACTAATTCTACCATGGGAGAAAAATTAAATAGTGAGAGTGCTAAATAAGCAAAAGTGTATTTTAATAATCTGTTGTAAGAACTTTTGTATATATTATTCCTCAGGGGTCACCCCCACTTATGAGTTTTACAATTACCAATTTCTGTTCTTCATTTTTATTGTAAGAACTTTTACAACAGATTATTAAAATACACTGCAACGTACTTAGCACTAGCACTCTTTGATTTGTCTCCTACACCGGAATTAGTGAAGGACCCACCGATACTGGGATACTGTGAAGTAGTGCTGGGCTTAACACAATATGATATGGCCATATGGTGGGCATGGATCCCCATATTTGTTTGCTGAGATACGTGATTTCAAGTAGTCTTATAAAATAAAAAATAGATTTGTATGTGTGCCCTGTTCCTTCTGTATGATGTATATATTTTGCTCTCTATGGAAGCACCATTCCTGTGAAATGCATGTTCTGGGTGTGCACCCAATTTCCTTTTTGTCTTTACTGTTTAGTGATTGATAGAGTTCATAGTACAGTGTTTAGACATTACTCCCAATCAGTTAGCGCAATCAAAATTAACATCTGTATTTTTCTTTGAATTGCTTTGCAGGAATACACATGAAACAACACGCAAATACCAAGAAACAAAGCAAATATAATTTTCAAATCATTTTTATTAATCCACAATTGAAGAATCCCTGATGACATGAATGCCCGATTTTACGAGTTAAAATATGAAGTTTGTGCTTATTTGCCTTGTGTATAATGGTACCAGCAAACACCTCGGACTGTATCTGATTAAAGGCCAATCTGTATGATTTTTTATATTGTTTGTTAAAGTAACACTGGAGTACCTGGGCGCTGAATCATTTTCAATTTGTTAAACACTGAATGAAGGTCCCTGGACGCCCGCTGTCCAGCCTCCCTCTACTGTTTAGACTCATACTTAAACATTAGTTCAAGCAGCAATAGTTGGCAGTGATTGGAACGCCACCTGCTGGCTCTCAGAGTATCACAGACATCTATTGCTGCTATACACTGGTATAACTAATGTGGAGTGTAACTACTCCAAGCAAGGGATGTGCAGTAGGCCCCTCATTAGGTGTTAAACTATTCGTGATTTAACATTAACCATGGAACAGGTGCCGTGGATTGCAGACGCTACAACCAATTCAATTAGACAAAATTGTTATAGTGCTAGAGTTTTTCTTTAAATAAAATGTCATATTTTAACCCACATGTTCGTATGATGACATATTTTCATATGTTTGAACTGTTTTGCAGGAAATCACATGTGGCAAAATTGTCAATTAGTAATGAACTTTTATTAAGAAGTACGTTTTCTAACAATCTTGGGAGCATCGTTGGTTAGAAGACGAATTTTGTCTACCTTGTTTCTCTAACTTCTAAAAAACAAACAGATTATTATTATTTTTTCATCTTTTTAAAATTGTTTTTAATTTGAGTAGCTAAATATCATCCCACTGAAAATTACACTTTGTCTACTATGTTGACTGTTTTTACTATAAATCTGAATCCAACTTACGTTTTTCATTTTCTTTCTATGTATGCTTGAGAGGTACTCCCTGTACTCGTTGTACTCTTTTAAAGAGCAAACAACCTAAACAAGACATTTTCTTTTGATTCAATGTCATTCAGTTAAATTTATGTATGCAATATGTTAGTGTAAAATTAAATTGTAGTGGCATGTTGCTTGTTTTTGTTTTTTTATCCTACCTTATCATCACTGGTGATAAATCCCTGCTGACGAATCCGTTGTCGGGGTACTTTACTCTGGTAATATTCTTTTAAGTATGGGTCATGCAGGTTATTGTAGGTTGTCCTCATCAAACGACAATATGGATCCTCAAGGTCAAATGATGGACTTGGCTTATAAAGCTGCAAAAACATTATAACATAAAACATTTGTGCACCCATTCTGTAAACCTATTCTGAAGAACACTCATTAGCATAAAACAACCAATATATGAAATAATTGGGGATTGTTTGAAAGGTTAAACATAGTAGGTTAAACATAGTAGACTAATGCTTATCCACTTCAGCTATTTTGTTATACGGTAGAAGAGTTAATAATCTACAATAGAACTAATGATTGATGTGAGATACTAATTTATAAAATCTTTTAATGCTTACTTGAATTAATCATTCCATGGCTTGGCATTAAATATACAACCCTTCATATCAATCCGTAGCCCTATTTCAATTGTCTTGAAAATATCTGCTTACTAGTCTGGATTAGTATTAAATACCTTTTCCGAGAGCTTGGTGGTACAGAACTGGACAGGTTGTTTAGGACACACTGGAAATTTCACTCCAGAAGGAACATCCACAAATTGTTCTGCTGGGGGTGCTCTAATGAAATCCACCTAAACAAATAGAAATTCAGTTAATGTAGATTACAGAACATATGTAATATGTACATATTAATGTGATTTATTTTTTATAATTTATACTTTGTTGGAGAATGACATCCACAATAAACTAAAAAAATATATATATATCAAGAAAATGACAATGTAAAAAAAAATCTCAGGTTTACAGCCTGTGTCTGTAAAATGTTCCCTTCCTAATATGAATCAGACTATGGATTTAAATTGTAGCGTATACCTTTTCCGAGGGATTTGCGGTTAGCATCGGAATCCGATTATTAGGACATGGTGGGAGTTTGATCCCCGAAGACGTATTTCTCTTTGTTGGCTTGGCTCTAATGGAAGATGCCTAAAACAGAGAATCATTTATAACGATTTTATGCATGCATATATCGGTAAAGTAAAGTAATCTCTTCTATGACTATTCACATTCCATTTTATGTTTTCTGATGATGAGGCATCAAATTAGTCACCAAAATTATTATACTTATATGGGGGGTCCATATGGATCTTATCGCCATACATTGGGCATAAGAAGGAAAGGAACTGGGTTAGAAGGTCAAATGGGCAGGGGGTGCATGGATTTAGTGAGTACATAACCCCCATTCACCTTGCCATGTGTTGTTTCTCTCGAAAGAGCTGGAAACATCTGCTTCTTCTCTCTTGCAAATTCTTCTGCCATGGTTATACAGTAATAACTGTTAAGGTAGGTCCTGTGCAGCAGATATATATAGCCTAAACTGTCAATGACATCACCACAATGCTGTGACCTCATCAGATACCTTAAAAGGACATCCTCTGCCCGAATACAAAATTCATTAAAAATCACTGTTATATATACCCCAAATTAAAAATTGCATATATTTTATCATGCATTTTTTCATTGGGGATATATCTAAAAACAGTTTGCAAAACCTACAGTTCTCTGTCCACTGCCTATGGAAGCCCTCCCCTTCTAAGCCCGCCCAGTCTTTCTGGGCTGTCCAATCATAGACTTCCCAAAACAGCTCAATGAAAAGTCTTTGCTAGACAGGTGCTCTGATTAATTGCTGCCTCTTGAGTTTAGTTACTATAATCTGTCACTATTAAAGGCAGGTAGTTAGTAGCAGCTACTAATTAATAACCGTACTAAAAACTTGTTGCAATTTTTTTCTGGCTGTCCATTAGTAATGTCTGCTTGCAGTGATACCAACCACTTGTAGATGTGTTGCTTATTGGTAAAACACACAAAACATATGGTTTGTAAGCTGTTTCTAACCATAATGTGCCTGTAAGGGATCTCCTTGAGCGTACTTTACTCTATGATTGGCCAGTTAAAGTGTATGGCATTACACTGTACACATGGTTGCTATTAAAGGAACACTCAAGGCACCATAAAAACTTAATCAAAATGGTGCCAGGAGGCCCCTAGACCCATTCTTATTTCAAGTGGTTTCACCCCTTTAGGTATGAGTGTGCCAGGGGCCTCTGGCATGTTTGTAGCTGGTAACACGCTGGAGTTATTTGGCAACACACACTCTGCATTCACTACACTAACAAACACTGCATTCATTACACACTAACACACTCTCTGCATTCACTACACTATGCACACACTCTGCATTTACTACGCTGACATTTACTATGCATTCACTACACTGACACACATTCTGCATTCACTACACTAACACACACTCTGCATTAACTACACTGACACACACTCTGCTTTCACTACACTAACATACACTCTGCATTAACTATACACACAGCATCCACTACACAAACATCCTTTATGAAGTTTTCTTGCATAGCAAGACCACTTAATGTTATCTCACATATATATTATTAAGTGTTCTTGCATAGCAAGACCACTTAATGTTATCTCACATATATATTAAGTGTTCTTGCATAGCAAGACCACTTAATGTTATCTCACATATATATTATTATTATTATTAAGTGTTCTTGCATAGCAAGACCACTTAATGTTATCTCACATATATATTATTATTAAGTGTTCTTGCATAGCAAGACCATTTAATGTTATCTCACATATATATTATTAAGTGTTCTTTCATAGCAAGACCACTTAATGTTATCTCACATATATATTATTATTCTTAGTAAGTGTTCTTGCATAGCAAGACCACTTAATGTTATCTCACATATATATTTAAGTGTTCTTGCATAGCAAGACCACTTAATGTTATCTCACATATATATTATTATTATTATTCTTATTCTTATTATAGCAAAATTTGCCACCCTAACTCCTCCCACAGTTTTTACACTACATAGACAAAAATGTACCAAAACGTGCAGATTGTTCCCGATCGGATTGCTATTACTTTGTGGAACGTTTCGCCAAATGGTTCACGGAATATCGTCGTTCTTGTGGCAAAATTTGTCCCATAGGAATGAATGGCAAAGCTAGAGTGGGAGCTGGCAAAAGCTGAAAAATCAGGACATGATTTCTAAACTGCCACCACTCCCTTATTTTCAGGCCCACCCACACAAATCTTATATCAAAACGTTCAGCTATCCCTCCTGCCACTAAACATGTCAACGGCTAAGCCATAGTCCTGATAGTTTTCACAATATAATAATTTGTTTGCAACTAACGCCGTCCATTGACTTTCATTGAAACTTCACTCTGCAAAGCTCATATTTGAAGTGCAATTTCTAAACTGCGACTGTGCCTTCAATTTTAATACTTCAGAGACATACTATGCATCAAAATGTAGGTCTGGGTCTTGTGATTCTCACAATATAAAGCTCTTCACTGTAGGATCTATAGTTTTTAAAATACGACCGTTTGAAGATGGCAACCGCCAAAATACTCTGACCTGTGTCAGGCTGCAGTAGCAAGTGATGTCATAGACAGGGCCTTTTGAACACCTGCTAATGTTTTATAAATGTATGGTTTAATGTAACTGTGCAACAACGTTGCAATTAAATGTGCTATGTAAATGATAACAGTTACTCCGCTCACTCCAGTTGTAGACTACAGGTGGAGGCAAGAACACTTCACACAATTTCCCCAGAAATTGTAACTTTTCTAGTTATTATTATTATTATTATAGCAAAATTTGCCACCCTAACTCCTCCTACAGTTTTTACACTACATAGACAAAAATTTACCAAAACGTGCAGATTGTTCCCGATCGGATTGCTATTACTTTGTGGAACGTTTCGCCGAATGGTTCACGGAATATCGTCGTTCTTGTGGCGAAATTTGTCCCATAGGAATGAATGGCAAAGCTAGAGTGGGAGCTGGCAAAAGCTGAAAAATCAGGACATGATTTCTAAACTGCCACCACTCCCTTATTTTCAGGCCCACCTACACAAATCTTATATCAAAACGTTCAGCTATCCCTGCTGCCACTAAACATGTCAACGGCTAAGCCATAGTCCTGATAGTTTTCACAATATAATCATTTGTTTGCAACTAACGCCGTCCATTGACATTCATTGAAACTTCACTCTACAAAGCTCAAATTTGAAGTGCAATTTCTAAACTGCGACTGTGCCTTCATTTTTAATACTTCAGAGACATACTATGCATCATCAAATGTAGGTCTGGGTCTTGTGATTCTCACAATATAAAGTTCTTCGCTGTAAGATTTATAGTTTTTAAAATACGACCGTTTGAAGATGGCAACCACCAGTGAAGTGAGCGATTTGGAGCCGTTTGTTTTTAACCGCTCTTCTCTGCCCTATTTGAGATCTATTAGTTCCTGTTGGCAGTTGGTGGAATGTTGGAGGGATTTGAAAGATTTCAAAGCTTCTCACTTGCTGCAGAGTGAGTGAACCACACTCCAACCTTTCCACAGTTACTCCAGCCACTCCAACCACACAACAGTTACTCCAGCCACTCCACCCAGTTACAACGCCCACTCCAGTTGTAGACTACTGGTAAAGGCAAGAACACTTCACACAATTTCCCCAGAAATTGTAGCTTTTCTAGTTGCTGTTTGTTTTTGTTTTTTATTACATGCACATTTGAGGTACATTTCTTTTAGTTTAGCACTTATTATGAGATCTTAGAAAGATTTTCATGGGATAGCCCAAAAGCGGACACACATTTAGATAAATAGGATGCTTTTTGATAAGTTGATGATTAGATATATTAGATATCACTGGGTCCCACACTAATTCTACCATGGGAGAAAAATTTAATAGTGAGAGTGCTAAATAAGCAAAAGTGTATTTTAATAATCTGTTGTAAGAACTTTTGTATATATTATTCCTCAGAGGTCACCCCCACTTATGAGTTTTACAATTACCAGTTTCTGTTCTTCATTTTTATTGTAAGAACTTTTACAACAGATTATTAAAATACACTGCAACGCACTTAGCACTAGCACTCTTTGATTTGTCTCCTACACCGGAATTAGTGAAGGACCCACCGATATTGGGATACTGTGAAGTAGTGCTGGGCTTAACACAATATGATATGGCCATATGGTGGGCATGGATCCCCATATTTGTTTGCTGAGATACGTGATTTCAAGTAGTCTTATAAAATAAAAAATAGATTTGTATGTGTGCCTTGTTCCTTCTGTATGATGTATATATCTTGCTCTCTATGGAAGCACCATTCCTGTGAAATGCATGTTCTGGGTGTGCACCCAATTTCCTTTTTGTCTTTACTGTTTAGTGATTGATAGAGTTCATAGTACTGTGTTTAGACATTACTCCCAATCAGTTAGCGCAATCAAAATTAACATCTGTATTTTTCTTTGAATTGCTTTGCAGGAATACACATGTAACAACACGCAAATACCAAGAAACAAAGCAAATATAATTTTCAAATCATTTTTATTAATCCACAATTGAAGAATCCCTAATGACATGAATGCCCAATTTTACGAGTTAAAATATGAAGTTTGTGCTTATTTGCCTTGTGTATAATGGTACCAGCAAACACCTCGGACTGTATCTGATTAAAGGCCAATCTGTATGATTTTTTATATTGTTTGTTAAAGTAACACTGGAGTACCTGGGAGCTGAATCATTTTCAATTTGTTAAACACTGAATGAAGGTCCCTGGACGCCCGCTGTCCAGCCCCCCTCTACTGTTTAGACACATACTTAAACATTAGTTCAAGCAGCAATAGTTGGCAGTGATTGGAACGCCACCTGCTGGCTCTCAGAGTATCACAGACATCTATTGCTGCTATACACTGGTATAGCTAATGTGGAGTGTAACTACTCCAAGCAAGGGATGTGCAGTAGGCCCCTCATTAGGTGTTAAACTATTCGTGATTTAACATTAACCATGGAGCAGGTGCCGTGGATTGCAGACGCTACAACCAATTCAATTAGACAAAATTGTTATAGTGCTAGAGTTTTTCTTTAAATACAATTTCATATTTTAACCCACATGTTCGTATGATGACATATTTTCATATGTTTGAACTGTTTTGCAGGAAATCACATGTGGCAAAATTGTCAACTAGTAATGAACTTTTATTAAGAAGTACGTTTTCTAACAATCTTGGGAGCATCATTGGTTAGAAGACGAATTTTGTCTACCTTGTTTCTCTAACTTCTAAAAAACAAACAGATTATTATTATTTTTTCATCTTTTTAAAATTGTTTTTAATTTGAGTAGCTAAATATCATCCCACTGAAAATTACACTTTGTCTACTATGTTGACTGTTTTTACTATAAATCTGAATCCAACTTACGTTTTTCATTTTCTTTCTATGTATGCTTGAGAGGTACTCCCTGTACTCGTTGTACTCTTTTAAAGAGCAAACAACCTAAACAAGACATTTTCTTTTAATTCCATGTCAGTCAGTTAAATTTATGTATGCAATATGTTAGTGTAAAATTAAATGGTAGTGGCATGTTGCTTGCTTTTGTTTTTTTATCCTACCTTATCATCACTGGTGATAAATCCCTGCTGACGGATCCGTTGTCGGGGTACTTTACTCTGGTAATATTCTTTTAAGTATGGGTCATGCAGGTTATTGTAGGTTGTCCTCATCAAATGACAATATGGATCCTCAAGGTCAAATGATGGACTTGGCTTAAAAAGCTGCAAAAACATTATAACATAAAACATTTGTGCACTCATTCTGTAAACCTATTCTGAAGAACACTCACTAGCATAAAACAACCAATATATGAAATAATTGGGGATTGTTTGAAAGGTTAAACATAGTAGGTTAAACATAGTAGACTAATGCTTATCCACTTCAGCTATTTTGTTATATGGTAGAAGAGTTAATAATCTACAATAGAACTAATGATTGATGTGAGATACTAATTTATAAAATCTTTTAATGCTTACTTTAATTAATCATTCCATGGCTTGGCATTAAATATACAACCCTTCATATCAATCCGTAGCCCTATTTCAATTGTCTTGAAAATATCTGCTTACTAGTCTGGATTAGTATTAAATACCTTTTCTGAGAGCTTGGTGGTACAGAACTGGACAGGTTGTTTAGGACACACTGGAAATTTCACTCCAGAAGGAACATCCACAAATTGTTCTGCTGGGGGTGCTCTAATGAAATCCACCTAAACAAATAGAAATTCAGTTAATGTAGATTACAGAACATATGTAAAATGTACATATTAATGTGATTTTTTTAAAAATAATTTATACTTTGTTGGAGAATGACATCCACAATAAACTAAAAAAAAATATATATATCAAGAAAATGACAATGTAAAAAAAAATCTCAGGTTTACAGCCTGTGTCTGTAAAATGTTCCCTTCCTAATATGAATCAGACTATGGATTTAAATTGTAGCGTATACCTTTTCTGAGGGATTTGCGGTTAGCATCGGAATCCGATTATTAGGACATGGTGGAAGTTTGATCCCCGAAGACGTATTTCTCTTTGTTGGCTTGGCTCTAATGGAAGATGCCTAAAACAGAGAATCATTTATAACGATTTTATGCATGCATATATTGGTATATCTTCTATGACTATTCACATTCCATTTTATGTTTTCTGATGATGAGGCATCAAATTAGTCACCAAAATTATTATACTTATATGGGGGGTCCATATGGATCTTATCGCCATACATTGGGCATAAGAAGGAAAGGAACTGGGTTAGAAGGTCAAATGGGCAGGGGGTGCATGGATTTAGTGAGTACATAACCCCCATTCACCTTGCCATGTGTTGTTTCTCTCGAAAGAGCTGGAAACATCTGCTTCTTCTCTCTTGCAAATTCTTCTGCCATGGTTATACAGTAATAACTGTTAAGGTAGGTCCTGTGCAGCAGATATATATAGCCTAAACTGTCAATGACATCACCACAATGCTGTGACCTCATCAGATACCTTAAAAGGACATCCCCTGCCCGAATACAAAATTCATTAAAAATCACTGTTATATATACCCCAAATTAAAAATTGCATATATTTTATCATGCATTTTTTCATTGGGGATATATCTAAAAACAGTTTGCAAAACCTACAGTTCTCTGTCCACTGCCTATGGAAGCCCTCCCCTTCTAAGCCCGCCCAGACTTTCTGGGCTGTCCAATCATAGACTCCCCAAAACAGCTCAATGAAAAGTCTTTGCTAGACAGGTGCTCTGATTAATTGTTGCCTCTTGAGTTTAGTTACTATAATCTGTCACTATTAAAGGCAGGTAGTTAGTAGCAGCTAATAATTAATAACCGTACTAAAAACTTGTTGCAATTTTTTTCTGGCTGTCCATTAGTAATGTCTGCTTGCAGTGATACCAACCACTTGTAGATGTGTTGCTTATTGGTAAAACACACAAAACATATGGTTTGTAAGCTGTTTCTAACCATAATGTGCCTGTAAGGGATCTCCTTGAGCGTACTTTACTCTATGATTGGCCAGTTAAAGTGTATGGCATTACACTGTACACATGGTTGCTATTAAAGGAACACTCAAGGCACCATAAAAACTTAATCAAAATGGTGCCAGGAGGCCCCTAGACCCATTCTTATTTCAAGTGGTTTCACCCCTTTAGGTTTGAGTGTGCCAGGGGCCTCTGGCATGCTTGCAGCTGGTAACGCGCTGGAGTTATTGGGAAACACACACTCTGCATTCACTACACTAACACACACTGCATTCATTACACACTAACACACTCTCTGCATTCACTACACTATGCACACACTCTGCATTTACTACGCTGACATTTACTTTGCATTCACTACACTGACACACACTCTGCATTAACTACACTGCATTCGTTTTCACAATATAATCATTTGTTTGCACCTAACGCCGTCCATTGACATTCATTGAAACTTCACTCTACAAAGCTCAAATTTGAAGTGCAATTTCTAAACTGCGACTGTGCCTTCATTTTTAATACTTCAGAGACATACTATGCATCAAGGTCTGGGTCTTGTGATTCTCACAATATAAAGCTCTTCGCTGTAGGATATATAGTTTTTAAAATACGACCGTTTGAAGATGGCAACCACCAGTGAAGTGAGCGATTTGGAGCCGTTTGTTTTTAACCGCTCTTCTCTGCCCTATTTGAGATCTATTAGTTCCTGTTGGCAGTTGGTGGAATGTTGGAGGGATTTGAAAGATTTCAAAGCTTCTCACTTGCTGTAGAGTGAGTGAACCACACTCCAACCTTTCCACAGTTACTCCAGCCACTCCAACCACACAACAGTTACTCCAGCCACTCCACCCAGTTACAACGCCCACTCCAGTTGTAGACTACTAGGATTTATAGTTTTTAAAATACGACCGTTTGAAGATGGCAACCGCCAAAATACTCTGACCTGTGCCAGGCTGCAGCAGCAAGTGATGTCATAGACAGGGCCTTTTGAACACCTGCTAATGTTTTTGTAAATGTATGGTTTAATGTAACTGTGCAACAACATTGCAATTAAATGTGCTCTATAAATGATAACAGTTACTCCGCCCACTCCAGTTGTAGACTACTGGTGGAGGCAAGAACACTTCACACAATTTCCCCAGAAATTGTAGCTTTTCTAGTTGAAGTTTATTGTTTTACATTCAGTTGATACATCTGCGATATTCCACTTTAACATTGCCACATTTTACAGAATACAGAGTCAGACACAATTAATACACGTACCAGGTCAATAACAATCAGTATACCATACATAGTTTCAAACATTGTCCCATATGTTGTTGTGTGTCATACTGTCTGGTGGCTGTCCAATCTATACACTCCCATCGCTGGAGTCTTGCTGTAAATGGTAGAAAAGGTGGTGCTCCCTCTCCTGTCTTCTATCAACTTAATTTTGAAATCCAAGGCTCATTTTAAAGTGCAACATTTCCATAGCTTTTAAGGCTCTTACGATACTTGATCTTGAATAAAATTATTTTTAAAATAGTGATATCTTAAAGGAGATCATAATTCTTTAATAAAAATAAGATTGTTGATGTGTAAATGGTGAAAATTCATCAGAACCTAAATTGAGTGGGAGTTTTGTACATTTAGCTAAAATAAAATTTGCTGAGCCAAGAAAAAAGAGAAACTAAATACCGTTTGATGAATTAAATGGTCCAGCAAACATTAGCTTGAAGAAATACATTTTATAGGAGCACACTGTAATCAGAATCCTCAGTACCCTTCCTGTTAACAACTGAATCAAATTAGAAATAACATTGAGTTATACAAGAAGATGGATACTGAATGCTAAATATTATAATAGCTTTATCCAGAAAAGCTGACTGACCTGTTATTTACCAGACACTTCTAGATACTGACACATTGCTAGTTCAAACCAGGGTATGTAATAAATTTAAATATAATTTTCATAATTTAAAAATGTATAACTTTAGATGTGCATCCATCACTTTGAGATAACTGTCTTATTTAAAAGCTTTTGCTTTGATGGGACAATAGTCCCATTCTGCAGGCTTAAAAAGCAATATATATTTTTTTTACATTTACCCGCTTCATCTGCCTTGCGTTTTATATGCTCACCGCAGGAGGGACACTGAGCTACTCAATCAGTGTCTTAACCCTAGGAATCCTGGAAAAGCATTTGCGCCACTGGATGATCTTGCAACATTATCAGTGACATTGAAAAATCTCTAACAGCGACCCTAGTAGAGTACCGTGATCACTTTACTGATTTGAAGTGGTCATGGTGTTTGGAGTCTACATTCAAGAGAGAAAAGGAAATTCCATTATATAATGTCAACTAGTGTCTTTAACCCTATAGTAATGGTAAAAAAAATCCCAAATATTTTAATAATTCTGACCCTACTATTAAAATAAATAAGCAACAAAAAACCAATACCATGCTGCCAAAAATAAAAATGTCAAGTGTGATCTGCGATGGTTGTAGGTTGATTGGGATTTACCAGTTGGGAAAAGCCTTTATAAAGGACTTCACATGCCTTGAAATCTCAGCCAGAGCACTCTGATTGTTTGGGTTGTAATAAACCAATCAAAACATATTGTCAGGCAAGTACAGGCAGGCCTTTTTGAGGGGCTGAAGAAAAGAAGTCTTAACAAGAAAGAAGACTTCTGACAGTAAGTATGACATTTTTTGTTTACAGGTGTTAGATGTATTCCCCCCTCACTATTGTTTTAAGACCCTCCCCCCTGAAGCCCACCGGTGTGGGCGTGGGGGATTGGACAGTAGAATATCCACCACCCGCTTTGTTTCAATACCCCCTCCTCAAGTCCATGGGTGGCGGTGTAAGGGAGGACATTGACATATCTACTTAACTTCCTTTCCTCAGTTATTATATTACTACCCTCAATTGGGAATATAGCAAGTCCTCCCAATGTTTTATTATAGAGACCCAAAGTGCTTCCCATGGTTGAGGGCATGTGCATGGACAGTGATCCATCCAACCCATATTACTGAATTTCAGCCACACCAGATGTCCACAAATAAGGGGATAAGGAAGACCAGTGAAAGATCCTCCTTTGGTATTTTAGTCTCAATCAGCAAATGGATAGGTCCTTTAAAAAAGCAAGTGAACGATTGTTTGGCAGGTTGCTAGGTTAATTTTACGATTTTATTTTTATATGATATGATTCATTGTATTGCTTTCGTATCTCTGTATTACTGGATTAATTATGTGCACTTCTTTATTTTATTCTGTTTTGCCAGCTTGATGTAATATGCCAGAAATATAATCACTTTCTGTGTTCCTGCTTCAAAAGAGTGCAGCTGTTGTTACACATTATACGTTTTTATTCTTGTTTCAAACAGCATAAAATCGTTTTCATCTAACTTTACAATGATTTTAACAGTAATGGTGATACAAGAAGAATCATTTAATCAAAGATTTCCACTTATGTGATATGTACACATTCATTTTACTATAATAATCTTTGTTTTTCTAAAAATTGGAATTGTGTGATGTTCACCATTTCATTACCAATTGTACTTGCTATTTTATTATGCTATTTGATTTTTATGTTGGTCAGTTTTGCATGATGTTTTTATCACTCCTATCTTGATTCTCTTTACATTTGTTATTAAATATTTTTGTTTCACTTGTACCCCCCATTGACTCTTTCTACCTAATTTGCTCCTTAGATGCACTTTACACGCATGCATATTGATATAGACCCATCTCAGACAAATTAACACTATGGGCACCATTACTACTTCATCTTAAAGGAGAGGTTATAGTGCAGTGGCGTACACACGATCCATGGGGCCCCGGTGCGAAAACTGATCTGTGGGCCGTCCTGGTGCTTACACTGCGCAGGCCGGGGCTGCAACACATGGCGGGCACCTGGTCGCAGAGGTCGCAGGGTCCCTCTAGTTGTAACTCTGCAGCTGAAAACATATCAGTTTCAGAGAAACTGCTATGTTTCATGAGGGTTAATCCAGCCTCTAGTAGCTGTCTCACTGACAGCCACTAGAGGTGCTTCCGCGATTCTCACTGTGATTTGACACTGGATGTCCATAGGAAAGCATT